GAGCTTTTGGGCGCTGAAGATCCGCTCGGCTCCGAAGCGAACTCTTCCAGAGACCGCTCCAAGGTGCCTCTCGGAGGAGAGGCCCCCGTCTCTCCCCGTCTCTCTCTTTCTCTCTCTTGGCCGCCGGCTCGCGATCCAGGAGACCCTGCGCAGGAAGCGGCCGTGACAGCCGTGGCGTGGTGTGTCAGATGCGCTGTCAGCGCCTGTTGCTCAAGGATCCGGCCCCGATCGCCGTCAAGAAGACCTCCCCAGATACGACCATGCACCATGCATCCCAGTCCGGCAAAGAGAGAGACAGAGAGACAGAGAGAGTCAGTGCTCAGTGCTCCGGTTCTCCCTGCCCTCCTTGACGCGAGCCCCTCTCTTGGCAGCCTCAGCTCCCGCAGCCGTTGCTCGGAAAGCGCCAAGCAGAGAGCTTCTTGGGTTACTGCGAGGCAGGAGGCCACCGTCAGTGTGGCCTCTGGCAACCATTAAAACAAAAGAGCAAACGCTCTCTGCGGGCCTGCGGGCTACTCCAGAATGGATACGAGTATCTGAGAGTTACTTACAACAGCTGAGTACAGCGTAGTTGAATACTTCTTAGGGATAAATAAGAAAGTCAGAGTCAGAGCAGAGCAGTTAAGAGCAGAAGAGCCGACGGCTGGCGCCAGCCGGGGGGGGGGGGGGGGCCCGGGCCCGGACCTCATAGGCCGCCTGGAGCACCACCTGTGACGGAGAGAGAGACCGCGGCCGCCCGGGCTGTGGAGAGACAGCTCCGCTGTTCCTCTCTCCCCCTCTCTCCCTCTCCCTCTCCCTCTCCCTCTCTCTTGCAATCTGTTGTCACAACACCACTTTGGGAGACAGCTGTCCTGTTGTCCTCCTGCCTTGGCAAAGACGGACCAATCGTTTGACCTGACGGCCTTCAGGTAGCCCACAGGTAGGGCGCCACAGAGCACCTTTCAGCGCATAGCAGCGGCGGCCCAGTGTAGCTCTGCTTAGCTGCCGCCTGACAGACCTGGTGACTCATCTGCCAGACCTGCCCGGTTCTCAGTAAACGAAACATCTTCAATTGCCACAGAGCTATACCGCTATGCCTCCGTCTCCCAGTGCACGCCCACCTGAAAAGACTTCTCTTGCAAATCCACAGTGCCCCAGCATCGTATTCACGGCTTCCGTCGTGTGCCTGGACGGCCTCACGAGCCTGATGTTCGAGCTCGTGGTTCGTTGCCAGGCGCTGGCTCAGCCTCGCTACCGAGCACGACGCGTGCGTCACTCACTCCACCTGCATCTATACTGACTCCTTTATAACACTGAAATGCATAGAACCTTGCAAGCGCACACTACCCTCTCCATGACACGCCTCGCGATGCTTCCGTCCACGCGGGGCAGGCAGTGGCCGTTCCTCAGGTTGAGGAGACCCTTGGATATAAGCGTTTCCAAGGAAACGCGAGGTCCCCACTTCATAGTCCAGTAACCGTTTTTGGAATTCTGCACCACATTGCCGAGCTCCTCCAGCAAATCCACGGGTCTCCCGGAGGCCTCAAAGCGGCGGAGGAAGTGTCGCCCCCGGCCCCCTTCGAAGCTTGGGCCAGCTTGGGCTGAGGCCCCTTGGCCCGTGGAGTGGACGAAGTAGTTCCTGCGGTCACGCGGTGCAGAGGCTGCTGCACTGCTGTCACGCCGCACTTCGCCTAAAGAAGGCGGCTGCCGGGCAGGCGATCGCCGAAGCGGCCCCTTGCGTGGCCTGACCCGCACGACGCACGAACTAACACGAAGCGGCCCGGGCACGAGTCACTTGCGCTTCGAGCGGCCTTGGAGCAGTAGTGTGTGATCCCATCCTCAGAGTGGGATCACCGGAGTGGGCTCCGCTCTCGCACGCTCTCGCACGCTCTCGCGGGCGCGCGGGTCTCTGCTCTCGCTCCCCTCCGATCCTCGGGCTGGTGGCCCTCCGTCGTCTCCAAGCAATTGAAAAGCGAGCAGACCTGCACCCCACTGCACTTTCAGCCGCTCAGCCGCTCTGTGAAAGAAAAGAGCTCGTCTGCCCGGCCCCCATCGAAAGAAGGAAAAGAACAAACACGCAACTCACAAATCTTCTGCCAACTGCGAAATCCTCACAGACCGCCTGGAAAACGCTGCCGGCGTTCTTGGGGTCTTGGTAGAGGCTTAGGGAGTCGCTGGTCAGGTTCTCGAAGTTCAAGGCCTCAGGAGTGGCTGGGTCGGGTCCAGCCCAGCGGCTGCGGCTGTGCCAAGAGGGGATTCTGACCTCTGAGAAGTAGGCCCCGGCATGGTAGTAGTCACCATGTCCCTCCTTGCAGGGCGCTTAAGGCAACCCAGGACCCAGCACTTCCTGGAGCATGGAACCGTGTCTTCTCCTGTCTGGCAGCATCCAACTGGGCTTTCAAGCTTGCGAGTGTTGGCGTTCGCAAAGTTCCAGCCTACACCCGCGAGTGCGCAGCAGTCCAAACAGTAAACAGCCAAGCTGAAAACTGCCTGAAACATCTTGCCGGTGCTCTTGCAAATCAGAAGGCCTGCCAGCCAGGCAGTTTTGGCGATTTGGAACAATGTGAAAGGCTGCCAGCAGGCCTGCTGCTGCCTCGAAATCATTCCTCATGTCCTTGTATCTGCCTTCTGGGACACCAAAGGCCTGCAGCACGAAGCGGGTTTCTGGATTTCGTACGGCCAAAGACGGGCCTCCTCGAACCAGTTGGGGGAAAGCCTGACACGCAGAAACTTGTCAAACTTCGGACAAATGCTACATGGGAAAACAAGCTCCCGACACGACATCACGCGTGCCAGGCATCCAGCACCGGAATCGCACCGGAAAGGCACTCTCAGGGCCTCCTGGAGGCCATTTTGTCGTCTTGCACGCGTGCTCGTCCTGCGTCGCGCGAGTGCACCCTTACTATCAGTTCCGTTGCATGTCAAGCAAATCTCTGTCTGTGCACTCGAGTCTGTTGCTGGCGTCTGCTAGTTGATACTTTGTGCTTGGGCCGAGAAGCAGCAAGGCGAAGTAGCTAAGGGTGGAGGTTGAAGGATCTTCTTGTCAATCAAATTGTCAAATACTTCTTGGTCTTCAGGACAAACCCGATTTGTTGTTCCTCAATACACCCTGCTCTAAGGAAGTGCACATGAAGAAAATGGAAAGCGTAAAACCCGGGTTTCAAATCCAACAATGAACTCACTGCGAACTGAAAAAAGGTATGATGATTTTTGAAATCAATCCATCACTTTCCAATGAATTGCAAGAAGTTTTCCGCGATTCAACAAGATCCGGCAAATGCTGCCCTCGAAGGTTGTTCATTCACGACGCAGCATCCGGTGCGAGGGACGCTTTGCGACCGACGGAGACCAGACGTTCCCTCTCGCATTAACAGCCACAGCTGTGCATTTGCACGTTCTCTCTGTTGGGAGTAGTGCCCCGCCACGAGCGGCAAAGCGGGCGCTAGCGCTACTATCGTCACGAATGACCAAGCAGAGCAGCACTATAACATTAGCTGACGTGAAACTACAACACCAAGCTTATGCTCACTCAGGTGTAATAGCTTTTGCACGAAAGCATAGTACTCTTCTCCGAAGAACTCTGATAGCCGGAAGACAGCAGTCATCTTGCTGGGACTGCACATCTGAATGTCATGGCCATATGGACAACCATCTGCTGCTGCCATCCGGATGCTGTCTCAGGCCAGTCAAAATGGCACGGTAGTGACCTGATCGCGGGGTGGCTCCGGTATGGATAGCCACGGTGACCAGCCGATACTTGTACCATGCAATCGCCAGGCCTTGAGACTGTGCAAAACACGGCAGGTCAACGGTAGCTCCAACCTCCAAAGGAAATTGCTGCCTGTTGGAATGCATGGAGACAATCAGATCTGGAGCTTTGCTGGCGATGCCACTCATTCACGCTCGCCTGCAAGCCATGCGAATGAATTGATATACCAAGCGGCTGCCTGGTATGTCCTCAAAGAAACATTTGCGCATTGGCATAGCACAATTTGCGTGGGTTTCTGAAAGTTTAAAACCTTTAACCAACGTCAAACTTAATCCTTTGTCAACACACGGCACAGGCTTCCACTATTTTCCCGCTGTCTTATTGCCGAGGTGTGAAACAATCAAATCTACCGGAAATACGAGTAAGTGTGTGCGCTTCAGTGCGTAGTGAGAAGGATGCAAAGATGACCTCAAGGTACAGTTCGAAAAACCAACGCACAACACGTAGCGGCACACGTGAAAAGCAGATAGGTTCCAATCATATCAAAATTCCAATCAGGAATATATCTCCAGGGCATAATATAAACATATCTCGAAAATCAGCTTCGCAATGCGCTCACCTTCATTTTCATCCAATGGCGGTCACGGCGTCCTCATCAAGAGTTGTACGATTGTGAGGATACAAACGCCCAGCATTTGCATCCGGGCACCCGGTGCCCGCACAAGGGAAACGTGTGCATCACAGAGCCCAAGGCTCCTCAACACTTTATCTCCCCGGGCGGGTGGGTGGGTGAAAATTTCAAGCCCCAACTTTGCCAGCAGGGCACTTCGAGCACAAAGCTGCCCGGCTTGCGTTCATGGATCAACACAACAAGTGGTTGATGATATGCAAAAAGGGGCAAAAGCTTTTGGGCAAGGAGACAAACACAAGTTTGTTTGAGACGTTCAATTTGCACAAAGCAAATTTTCAAAGGTTAGATTTGATTGGCGGATGCACCCAGCGCATCCTTTTCACACTAGGCAATAAAGATTTATCGCTCCGCGATGTGTTTCTTATTGCCGAGGTGTGAAACAATCAAATCTACCGGAAATACGAGTAAGTGTGTGCGCTTCAGTGCGTAGTGAGAAGGATGCAAAGATGACCTCAAGGTACAGTTCGAAAAACCAACGCACAACACGTAGCGGCACACGTGAAAAGCAGATAGGTTCCAATCATATCAAAATTCCAATCAGGAATATATCTCCAGGGCATAATATAAACATATCTCGAAAATCAGCTTCGCAATGCGCTCACCTTCATTTTCATCCAATGGCGGTCACGGCGTCCTCATCAAGAGTTGTACGATTGTGAGGATACAAACGCCCAGCATTTGCATCCGGGCACCCGGTGCCCGCACAAGGGAAACATGTGCATCACAGAGCCCAAGGCTCCTCAACACTTTATCTCCCCACTACAACTCCAGTGTTGAGGAATCGGTGACCGAAGTAAACGAGCGCAGTAGGGCTTCTAGGCTCGAGCAGGTCCAGTCCACATTGGTCCGGGTATACTCAGCACCATAAAAGTCAAAGTTCAAGCGCGAAGCATCATCGTTTTTTCATTCACACGCTTTAGTCGAGTCGACTATTCAGCGGGCGCTACGTACCCGTATCAGCGATTGCATACAGGAACGGCCTTTTCAGGCACGCCGGACTACTACGATGCCGCTTCCCAGGGCGGCAGGCCGACTATTGCGGCCATGAAAAGAGAGCTAAGTACCACGTCCTACTGATCTCGTTTAGGTCAGTAGAGTTAGCTACGACAGTCAGAGTGTCATCATTCTGTACATGGAGGGCCGGATGGGCGGCATCCTCGGCAAGGCTCCTTTGGAGCTCACTGTAGAAGGCAGCAGTCGGCTCTCCCTTTGGGCCGAAACACCCATTGAGCGATAATGGCCTGAGTCCGGAGTGCATCCGATGTGATACACTACCGAGTTGAGCACATAGGTGCAGGGCTCTGTGTGAACACCATCGGTGAATGTGGGCACCTGCAATCTTGGAGAGAGGTTAACTCTGTGTTGCAGTTTTCCTACTTCGCCTCTGAAGTCCCCACTGAATCGCATAAGCTGAATGCTCAGGATCGGTGGGGGTCTGACGAGTGCCGTGACCTCTCCCGTATCTTGCTCATAGGTCCAATCCTCAATGAGCTGCTGCAAAGTTTTGTTGGGCTTGCATGGTAGTGTAATGAGTGGCACAGGGCTCATTCGCTGATGAGCATGAAGAAGGGGCCCTTCCGTAGATCGGGCTTCCCATGAGCCATGTATTCCTGGCAGGCGTACATGATCAGTGAGGAATGTGAAAAATTCAGCCACGTCGTGTTGCTGACGCATTCTGGGCCACGTCCTGAGTAAGTCAAGCCACGCCTTCCTCCGATAGAGCTGAACCGATCCCTTCGGATTGAGAAGGGGTCTCAGGAGCTGATGAAGATCTCCAAAGTGAGAGTTGCGATCTGAGGCCCGGCACTCGGGCGCACCAGTGTGCTGCTTCAAGCGACACGTCGATGTGCGCACCGACACACAGCATTGCAAAGGTTGCCAGCACCGGGGATGATCCTGAGCCCAATGCTGCTTTCGCCGACTCGTTGTCTATGAACCACAGCACCTTTCGACCTTTAAGAAACTCAGCCCACACAATTTTGGCGACAAGAACCGGCAGGACTTCTGCTTGGCCCACCAGCTGCCGTTTGCCATAAGCTCCCCAGGAGTCGACGAACGGCGTTGGGATCCGCTCTCCGAAGAAACGATGCACCCCCCTGACTGGGTCAATCAAGACGCCACCGTGAGCTGTCAGGCCATCTGCCTCCTCATGAGCACCATCCGTGAAGACTATGACCGGTCGGTCACTTGCATCAGTTTTGATCTCTCGCGGACGCATGTCCTCAAGCAACCCGATAGTGTGCTGTAACAGGACACAATCATCCGAACTAAGCTTCAGCACCCCGCCGCCTTTCAAGTGTTTCGAAAGGGACTTAACAGCCATCAAGGCAACACGCCCGAAGGTATGGGTCGAGGCGTACAGGAGACGCCCTTTCAAGCTTGCAAGCACTGCAGGTTGCACGAAACCTTCGGCACAGACTGAGTTCACCAACGTCCTCAAGGATTCGAGGCGCCCTTTCTTGTTCGCGATTTCCAGGATGCCGGAAGGGGCTCGCACAAGTGAAAAGCTGGCTCCAAGCATAGCAAAGACCTTGGCAAAGGGCAGGGACTTTTTGGGGTCCTCGGCAATCTTCCACCCTAGAATAGAAGGCGCAAGACGAGCTCAGCAGTGGTTTTGGCAGAATCAGCCAAAGCTTCAGTTTCCAATTGGCAGAAATCGTCATAAAACCTAGTCACTATGAGCTTTACGATTCTCAAGAGGATCAGGCGCAAGGCGCGAGCAACCCGATTGAAGCTGGTGACCGAGTGGACCGCTCCGAATGGAAGCGTGGAAAAACGGAAGTACTTGTGTTTCTTACAAGAAGGGTCCCACACAGCCAATACGGAGGCCCACGCATCCAGCGGCGAGGAGGCCAACTGTTTGTAGGCCGCTTTCAAGTCGAGTGCTCTGCCGACGATCTGTCGATTCCCTGGACTCTTTTTGCGGATCACGGCGTCCATGAAGCACTTTGCAGTCTGAGCAACAACATCAATGTCCTGAAGGAGTATCTTTTCGGAGAAGGTGCAGGTGGCATTCACCATCGACGCTCTCAGGTCATCAATGGCACGGGTTTTGTCTCCCTGTTGCACTCCGAACCTTCTAGATTCTAGAGGGTATCCAGCCATCTGGGAACAACCGATCAAGATCCTCTTCGGATAGTGATAGTGGACCATGCAACCACCCGGAGCCGTCGGAAGCTTGTTCGACGGCTTCGTCTTCATCCGACTCTCCACAGTCGGGCGCTCGGAGCATTCCTTTTACCCAAGGCGCTGCTTCCTTCAACTCGGCTTCCGACATAGAAGCGTGCTTGAAGGCAATTGGGAACTGGCCACTGGGTTTGGCGTAGCCAAGCACCTTGAAACCATCGCACATCTCCTGGAATAAGGAAGGGTCATCAACCCCCGCTGCGGTAGCAAGCTTACGAAAAAGAAGAAGTCTCTTGCCTTTAAGGACCTGAGCAACTTCAGGGCGTAGGTCGCAGTGGAGGGTTTCTTCTTCAGCTCGTAATTCGGCTTCCGATTGAAGAATGGCTTTCAAGGCGTTCGTCCTAAAGGCACACACTTCGGCAGCAGGCATTTCGGATACCCAGTTGATGTTTTCCAAGGCTGATGGTTCGCACCCAGACAGGACGTTGCATGGGTGCTCAGCTTTCATGGCTTGCTGCAGAAATTCATCTTTGGACCAAGGAACCCCGAATGCAACAGGTTTGGTCCCGGCAGACTCTGTGGAGCTGTTCTGCTCGGTCGACACACCCAAACCCTCCGGCACACTCACACCCCCACGTAACTCTTGTGCCGTCATGGCATCCAGCTTCCCCGAGCGAAGCAAGACCGCTCCGGGAGGGACCTCGGGCAGGGAGGCACACCCGAGCGAAGGCACAGTATCAGGAGGATCGAAGTCGGCGGGGACGGAGGCTCGAACCACTAACTTAAACTCGGGGACAACCGGGGGCACTGCACTAAGCTTTAGTAGACCCCTGCAAGGCAACAGATGCGGGCCTCACCGCAGGCGGCAGCAGGGCTCCGGCAACACGGTGAACACACAATTGGGCGATCATGCGGCAGCACTGCGCAGGCAGCCGTTTGGCGTCAGGAGCGGACTGCCCTTGGGGAGTCCAAGGTAGATGGGTATGTTGGCCATCACATTGTCGCTGTAGGCGGCACAGAGCAGGCACATTGTGCAACAAGATGACACTGCGTTTGCGTTCGGCCCCAAACATGCACAGGTCAAGAGGAGTTTCATGGTGGGGGATCCCGATGGCTTGAGCACGCACGGTCTTCCAGCACCGGGCCGAAGAAGGCAGGCAAAAGCAGAAAGGCGTCGGGTAGGCAGTCACTGTGGCCAGGAGCAAGATCAAGAACTGCTCCAAGGCAGCACTCAAGGGCCCAGGCTTAGATGAATGGCTCAGGGGCGGCATGACGAACAGAAGTGCCACGGCCTTCTCTTTCAACCGCTGCAAGCAGAAGTTGACATCATCAGCTTTGCAGACGTCCCATCGCATGACGGGGACAGAACAAGCTCGCTCAGGTGAATGGTGCAAAGCCAGAGTCCGAAGCTGAAGGGCGCGAAACGCAGCGGACATGCCCGGAGGCGAACTGAAGATTTCTAGACAAAGTTGCCCCTGAGGAGGGACAGATGGAAGTGGCTGAGACTCGGGAGGTGGACGCACCCGAAAACCAAGTAGTTCCAGCTCCTCAGTTTGTTCAGTTGACAACTCACCCACCGAAGCTATGCAAAAGGCGACCAACACGAGGCGACGACCTTCCCAGGGCAGCGTGAGGTGCTCCTCAGTGCGAGCATGGAGCAAGCAAGGTTGCACTCGAGGGTCCAGCTTGGTTCCTCGGAGCACAGCATCGCCATCACGAACAACCACGGGTCCCTCGGGGCGAACCACAAAATTTTCACCGCCAGAGAAATCGCTGATGGCAACGACAAGGTTCGGATCAAAACTGTTGTGCAGGTCTTTGTGCCGCGGGGCCTGCACATCGCAAAACAGGACCACAGAAGTCCACCGATGGCAGGGCCGGACCTGCCGGATAAACGAATTGAGAAGCTGAACCGAGATGGGAAAAAGGCGATTGTTGCGCCGGAGCCCGAACCGATCGTCGCGAGCCCAACAACCACTGCCAAAAGCTGAAGGGACGTCAGTGCCTCTCGAGGCTTCTTCGAGCGGCAGCAAGTCAAAAAGGTGCTCGACATCTCGTCGAGTAGGTGGGCGAGCGATCAGCACTCGCCGTGCAAAGATCTCTGCCGCATGCTGCTGCAGAGTAATCCCGGGAAAACATAAGTCGAGGGTAAGGACAAAATATTCACAAGCGGAAGTGAGGCACACCGAGCTACCAGAAGTCTCGACAGCAGCTTCGACACCAAAGCCGGCCACCGGCGGGGCTTCCACCACTGTGCCTAGCCAAGCATGTTTGACGAAAGGATGGGCTTTGACACAGCCCGGATGGCAGCAAAGGCGCTTGCCCTTGGGGCATTGCGCCACATCGCCATGCTCGCATTTGCCGAGGTTATAGTTCCAACAGAGAGGCGCTCCACGGCATCAACGGGTACACCACCTTTGAGGGCTGCTGGCATATACGGAGTTCGTTTCTTCGGCCGTAGGTCGGAGCGCCCCCCCACAGGTTGGGGGGGGCGGAACAGACCGATCCCCGTTCTTGCGCTTTCGAGGGTTTGGCTTGGTCTTGGCAGCAGTCTTGACAGCGGGAGCGGCACTCCCTCGGGTCCGAGGTATCAGGAGTTGCTCCACGCAGCGCATCTGGAGGACCACAGGCAAGTGTCGGTCCAAGGGAAGGCCTCCATCAGAGCCTAAAGTAAAACCCGCTCGGCATTGGTCACTGAGCCGAAAATGAATTTCTCGATCGCACATTGAGAGCTGAGTCAATGTGACCCTTTGGTACCCCTCAGGTGCATCCTTGTAGTAGGCGTCAAACAGAAAGTTGATCAAGGTCTCGTGAACTTCAAAGGTCATGAGTTCCGCAATCGCATAACAAACTCCTCGACGGCGGAGTGCATGATGAACCATCAGGTCGGTGGCCACATTCGCCTCAAGACGTGGAGTATCCTTGTGCTCGCGCACCACTCCGCTCTTGTCCGGCTTCCAAGCTTTTAGCAAATCGTCCTCAGACGCCCCGACCACCTCTTGATCACGGGTGGTCAGCCTCGACCATTCGATGTAGCGAAGACGCCCTTTGTCCAGCATGGCTGCGAAGAGATTGATGCTCGCGTGGCTGGGCTCAAGAATTCCTTCAAGCTTCAAAGGAGCAATGTTTGGAGTAAGCACCTGAAGCCGTGCCCCGATCTCAGCGACTGGCAATTTGCGGGGTGCGGACTCGTCTGTCCCATCAACCTTGCGTTTCAAGTCGGCAGCAGTCAAAGTCCAGGCTTCCCAGTGGAGTCGTCGCAAAGCGGCATCATGGGACGCGTAGACTTTCCCCACCCACGGAGGTCCAGCCGGGCAGGCCGACCGCCAAGCACCTTTGGCGGAAGATGGCCTTGGAGTCAACATAGGACATGGCTTTCCACTATGTTCGCCTCACAAAACTCGAGCCGGAACTCGCACGTCGCTGCTCAGGAGCGCGAGGGCCAGGGCTAGGCCCCGTCAACAGGCACAGCACGAGCCTTTGTTTCAGCTGGCACACATGTCGCCTCATTTGAAGCAAGACAAGCACGGGTTCAGGATGACGTTGGGTCGGGCTCCTAGCTCAGTGTGCGCCGAGGTGGTGGCATCGTCATCATTAAACCGCCGGGCTCGGTGCACGGTCTTGCGCGCCTCGCGCAAGTAATATACATAACCATCCTGGCTGGAGCTATCGAGAGTTTCGCTATGAGCGTGCATCTCGGCCATTTGCCCGTCAAGCTCCGACTCCGCACTATCCGAGTCGTCGTCAGGCTCTTCGCTGGACTCAGAGTCAGAAGACGAATCTGCTAAAAGGCGGCTCACTTTCTCAGCCCGGATTCTCTTAGGCTCATCTCCGTTGCGTAAGAGTGCCAAAGCGGAATCATAATCAGCACCGTGCCACCTCTGAAGGCGCGGCTCGTCGGGTGAGAAGTACCCCTCCTTGATCATCTCAAGAGTATTGGCCAACCTAAGGATAAGCGGGGCGGCTGCATCATGGGCGTATTCCAACTCTGATTTGCCCTCACTGCCAACATGATACCCTGCTCTTCGGCACAAGGCATTCGTCGCTGCTCCTTTGGTGAGCCAAGCTAGGCATGTAGCTTTGCAGCTGTGTGTTGCAATGTTTGCCAGCTCCTCAAAGGTGCACACATCCGAGAGGATTTCTCGCATCCAAACCGAAGCATCTGAAGACCGGAGCTTTCGTCCTGAGAATCCCCCATCTGAAGTCGGGCACCTCATGAGCGGTTCATCCTCTGAAGCTCTCAAACCGAGTGCAGCTCGATTTTCCAAGTAGGATGTGGCCCAACACTCAGAACCGTGCACTCCCGGGCTGATCGCAAAGACAGGAATGAGCCGAAACCGAGTTGCCCGCCGGAGAGAACTGGTCTTGGACCCATACAGGCGGAGCGTGAGGATGTTGTGAGCCTCACCTTTTTCAAGCTCCGGTTCTTCAAAGCACATTTGCCCATCACTGAACCTGAGTCGGCCATGCACAAGCACGCACAAGAATCCAGCAAAGATGGAAGGGGCGCTCGGTTCGCCACACGCAAGTTGTTCCAGCTTTCTTAGTTGATGCCTTTAAAGGCCATTTCTTGATGATGGGCCTTTTGTCCACCCCCGTGATTGTAGACAGGAGCCCCCTCAGCCCGCAAGTAGCATGTATACTGGTACAAGCGATCTTCACTGGCAGGGAAAAGTTGGTTCTCGCCAAAAGTTGCTCGTTGCCAACGGGAGTATTGAAGGAGGCTGCCTGCACGACTACGCAGTGTTGAAGTCGCCTTGCGGGCGAAGACGTCATCCAAAACTATCGGAACCTGGGCATCCGAAGCCTTCGAGAGGGTGACTGCCAGTCCGCACACGGAGGTGACTATGAGCGCTTGCCACAACGCAAGCGCCTTGACACGCTCCTTGCGACTCTGATTGTCTCCCCCTTTGCTGATCGGCAAGGCCCGTCTGGCTGGGAATCCTGTGCAGACGACGATCTAGGCTATGTCGGTAGGCGGGATCTATAATGGAACCCGTGAAGGATTCCACGGCATCCAGTCTGCCTGCAAGAATTTGAATCTGAAGTTGGACCTCGGAAGGGGTCGTGGCAGACGAGGAAGGAAGCCTGCGCTTGCGGCCAGTAGCCGGCACGGAGACAGTGGCTTCGGTAACATCTTCTGTTCATCACTCAAAGAAGCATACACATGCTCGCGCGGACCTTCCAGGGCCAAGTCTCCGGAACAGGAGGCGACAACCGAAGTGCAATCCCACCGTTCCTCGTAGCAATCATGGCGACTCCAGAGCATGCGAGACTGACGTTCCGCATCGGGCTCTTGCACCTGACTTAACATGTTGAGATTACCAACATAACTACCCGCCCACAAGTTCCCGCCCAAATGCAATAAAATATTGCAAAAAGGATTATAAAAATCTGAGTCGGAAAACTCTGACATGAGACTGTTCGTAAAAGAACTCTCCCCCTCCAAACAGGGCTGGGCGGGTGGGTACACAAATGAGTCCCCCCCTCCCCTTTTGGACTCCGCAGAGCCGAGCCCAAAGGTTCGGACGAATAATGATTGTCATCTGTTCCTCCAGCAGGAGGGAACAACAACCGCACATGAAAAAGTTCATGTAAAACAAAACACCGTGTGACATGAAAATCAATCCATAAAAGAGTCGAAACCCGACTCAACAAATGGAAAGCATTTTCGATATTGGCACATGAAAATGTGAGCAAGTTATGTTTCTTAATCTCATTCTGATGGACAAGTCCACCTCACGAGATTACCAACATAACTACCCGCCCACAAGTTCCCGCCCAAATGCAATAAAATATTGCAAAAAGGATTATAAAAATCTGAGTCGGAAAACTCTGACATGAGACTGTTCGCACTGACAAGAAGCGAGCAACATGACTGAATGCAATGCGCGGGCTCCACATGTTTTCACGCTGCCGCGCAACGATTGTTGAAAGAGTGCACGAAAGAGGAAGGGAGGAGAGAAGCATAGTCGATGCAATGCTCCGTCATTCACGTGTTGTACCAACTGCACCCCACGTCCGTAAAAGAACTCTCCCCTCTCAACGAGTGACAGTGGCACATCACTTCCAGGGATCCTTCTCGCGCAACCGTTCAGCCTTCTTAAGCTTGGCAGCGGTTTTGGATACCCGCTTCTCTTTCCACTCAGCAATCTCACCGTACAATGCAGAGCCCGCTTGCAAAAGAGGCCTGAGAACCAGACCTTGGTATTCGGCAAATGAAAATCGTAACCTCAGCTTTGGATCGAACTGCTTGAAATCCCCGTTAGTCAGAGAGTCAGCCAGCATGTTCTGAAGGCGTGGTGCCCACGTGAGCTCGAGCATGCACGACTTCTCAAGGAGCACAGCAGTTAATTCCATCAATACGGCCACCAATGGAAATGAAGTTGTGAGCCAACGCGAGACAATGTGTGAATTGCCCTTATTGTCTGTCCCCGCTGAACAGACTGTTCGCGAAGGGCCCGCTCCCGTAGGAGCGAAGAGCAACACCGCCACCATGGTGACCAGAAGTTCGAGGGATGCTATGGAACGGTAAGACTCCCCTGCCATAAAGAAGAGAGGAGCATCTTCAGGTTTGATCCGCTCGGCAAACCACCGGCACCGACGAGGATCGTCGGAGTCTGCACATGACCATCCTCCAATATGCATCTCTGGCCCCTCTGCTCTAGCATCCGTCCTGAAGAGCTCCGGAGCCGCCTCAGACGAATGTTGTGCAACCTTCGTGACCCTGAGACCTTTTAGCAACAGCGCTTCCACGAAAACCAGAACCAAGTCGACGGCCTTGGGGAGTCGCAAGGTGTGGCACTGAGACACTGCACTGGTCCAAGCGTACAGCGGCCCCAGGAAGGGTCTCAGCATCGGAAGGACCGTGAAAGCGAATGAGCGGCGGCCCAACACGGATTGCATGTCGGCCACTCGCACCATGCCGTCGGCCCTGGTCTTACGGATCCAGCCGACGATCCAATCAGTCCTTGACTGGCTGATGCCAATCGTCCTCCCGAAAGCGAACACCGAGAACCCGATCCAGCCATGCTCCAGTCCCCCGGCGAACTTATGCCAGGCAAATGGGGTTCCCAGTACCTGAAGCAATAAGATGGTCGCCAAGATCTTGATCAGCCCGTCTCCGGACTGGGTAAGCCATATGAGGTCGTCCACATAGCTCAGGAGAACCGTCGGGTCGCCTTGTAGACAGTAGTACAGAAGTCTGCCCAGTCCCGACATGAGTCTGTACCACCAGTAAGAAGCTGAAGCGATGCCGAACGTCCCCACGCAGTTGTTGTATATCTTCTTTGGGTTTGATCCACGACAAGCTTGTCGTGGCCAGTCCCGCTCCCGCACACGGTAAAGACGATGAGCTCTGCTGATGTCACCACTCAGAGAGAAGTAAGCGTGTGGCAAGATTTCCACGGCAGTTTGAAGATCAGCGCCCGTAGGATATCGTTGGGCATCCCGAACACGGATGCAATCGTTGACATGCTGCCCATTGCTGCCGTCACGCACGATCCTCAGAGAGCCGTCTGGCTTGGGCACCGCCCCAAGCGATGCGACAGATAAGGAATCACCATGTTTCGCCCGGGCCTCCTCCAAGTCGAGCGCGATCATCGCCCCCAGGCTCATCTCCTTGGCGAGCTGCTCATCAAGCTGGACGGGGTTGTCTCGCGCCCCGGGATAGTTTTCGCGAAGACCGTCTTCGAGCGGAGTGTCGGCATCTGGGTACTTCCTGTGCTTGTACTTCCGCTCGAAAAGTGCAGGCGTCCGAGGTAGGCGCTCCCCTACCCCGATCGGAACCCCTCTTGCAAAGGACACGGATGAAGAAGCATATTGTCTCCAGTCCGGGTCTCCAGCTGCCCTCAAGAGCTCCCCAATGGCCTCGAGGTAGAAAGGTTGTCGGGGAGCCACATGTTCGAGCTCTTTCGTGGAGCCCCAGTCCCTCAGCCGCTGGAAAACAAGCGAGCGCATCTCCACCACCATCGAATCCGGGAAAGGCGAAGACGTGGCCCTCCCCGTGGCCAAGCGACAGATTTCCTTCCTCACGTCGATGTGCTTCTGGAGCATGTGCAGAGCGTCCTCGAAAATCTGCCCGTGCAAGGAAATGTCCGGATGCGTGAGACTTGTTGGCCTGTCCTTTGGCAACCATCGGCCAGGAGATGCCAAGCCATGCCCATCGGAGAAATCAATCCGCTTTCCCACGAGAGTGGCCTTCAGAGGAGGTCCAAAGCCGAGTATACCCTCACCTAGCTTTGCCTTGGGAACGCCATCGACATCCTCTTCAGAAGTAGAGCCACCCTCCTCCTCGTCGTCCTGGTTGTCGGGTTTGGGTCTCCACCACTCATCGTCCTTCGGCACGGCATCATCGTTGTTGTCCTCCAGGATGCGCTTCACCGCGTGTGGCAAGGACGCAACCCCCGGCTGGGGCGGCAAGTTGAATCCCAGCTACTCCAGAAACCTCCAGTCGGCCGAAGGAAAGGAAGGATTCACCCGAGGGGTGTATGCCACGAGTACTGTTCTAGTCCCTTCCCAAGCCTGCGTGCAGTGCCAAGCGGTGGGATCGAAACAAACATGACAGCCATCATCGAGCTCGAGAGTATGTCCCAAGCCTAATGAGGGATTCGAAGGGCACGGTTCCTGACCTCCGCCATCCTGAGTCCAGATGCCCCCGCCCCGAAAGGACGAGAGCCCTGCCACGAGATTTCTCGATCCTCGCTCATTGCCTGTATCTCGATGCGGGGCCGTCTGAAGGTTGCGAAAAATCGCAATGGCAGAGAATGTAAAGCTGGCGTCCAGACCCCGAACGAACCTACACAAAACCCTAGCCACCCCGGGAAACAACCTGGAGTTCCTACGAAGGCCGGCAAGGCTACCGCCCACGGCATAAGCCCCGACAGCAAAAGATTTCGAATCCTGCCAAGTGACTCCATCTCGGGCCAATTCTTCGCCGGGAAGTAAGTCGAAGATCTGAAGTAAAGACTCCTTCGAGACCGCCGAGTGTTGCAAACGCAGTGCCAGAGCTTCAGCCTGGTGGACCACAGCTGTCGAAGTCGCATTCTCAAGAGTGTCAGAAGAACGAGCTTGCTCCTCCCCCAACATCGATTCGGAGGACACTCTTTGCCTGAAGGTGAGAACCGCAATACTGGCCAGCGCTTCACAGAAGCCCGAAGGGTAAGCAGCCGGCCCGGCGAGAAAATGACCATTTTCGTCGGTGCCGATGAGAGGGGCATGCGCATGCCCGCATTTGCGAGACAACGGCCCTCGATAGTGCTGCTGAGGGTCAAGTCGCGGCCAACCGGCCACACCAACCGATCGTAGACCGTGCCAGGTTCCAGCTAATCGTGTCACCGAAGTGGCGCGAGTCTCCTGGAAAACACGAACAGCTTCTTCCCAAGTCCAGATTGAAGCCGGGGTGCCAGCCGCCGTAGCACCCAAAAATTCCGGATGCTCAATCAACCAGGGTACATGCTCATTGGTGGCCAGGGTGGCTAAGGACAATACCCGGCGCACCAAACTCGTTCCAGCCTCTGCTCTGGATTTCCATACACCGGATAGCCAAGGAAAACCTTCCGGCCAGTCCGAGTTCCGCAGAGGCGGTGGTCCTGTGCGATTGACGAACGTGGCCCGGTTGAATGTAGAATATGGCGGGCTCATGAAAAGAAGATTGAATTCATGTCGTCGAACTTGATTGAGCAATCTCAACCAAAAAGAGTCTGAAAGAACATCCGGAGCCGACTCCCCGATATCAACTTCTTGATAGCGGAATGACAGCCCGGCTTTCTCGCAGGCAGCCGCCAGGAATGATTTCAAGTCAGCCCGGCGAGACTCTCCCGCGAATAGATAGAGGAAAGAAATGTCGGATTGTGGAGGCGAATCGAGTCCTTGAGAGACGTTCTCCTCGGTGTCTCCGCCGTCCGAGAGTCAGTTAGATGCTGTAGCCGCCTCCGGACGACAATTGCGTGCATGCATGATAAGGGTGTTTGCCGAGACAACGTTGACATACATGAAGGAAGCGACAGGCGCTGTTCTTGCACCCTTCTTTCCCGTTGAACTTCCAACAAATAGGCTTGCCATCTGGAGTCTTCATGAGCTTGGCAGCCTTCTTGCCAGGGGCCTCTTCGGCTGCCGCAGCAGCCAATGCACGTTTCAGGGCTTTGCCTTTGCCCTTTCCCTTGGACTCGCGCCTCCCGTCAGCCGGAACAGACGGGGGAGGCGGCACGGCCCGAAGCGAGAAAGGAATGACAAGATGTCGATTGAGAAGCTCCATATCATGCATGGCCTTTGTAAAGGCTTCCTCGATAGTGCCCACTTCGCCGTCCCGGATCCAGCGATACAGGGTTTTGCGAGCCTCGAGTTCAAAGCTCAAGACGAGCTCCCAAGTTGGAGTGTGCCCGTCACCAGCCACCAATCCAGCAACTTGTGATCCCAACACATAATCACTGAACCTCCGCAGGACATCCGTGGAGTTTCTGGACAGCCAGGGCCTGAGAGCATGCTTGGTCGCCAGGAAGTCCCAAGCTAGCCCGATGCGCCTGTGGCGCAACCGCAGCTCCTCAGGATTGTTGGGCATGCCAGTAAGAGTCTTCCCAGGCTTTATTTTAAGCACATTGGTAGTAGGATCGATCACCGCCGAGTACGCCTCGAGTTCTGAATCTTCGAGCGACGCCACTTCCGTAAGCAGCTCGGCTACCGGCTGATTGTTCTCGATCTGCTCCAGCTTGGCCGCTAGCAAGAACTTGGCAGGAACCTCCTTGTCCTTCAACTTTCCGAGCGATGCTTCAACTGCCAGCCGCATGGCATGATGCTCGCTAGGCTGCACAAGTCGCTGCTGAGTCCCCAGCCGCGCTTCAGCTTTGTTTCTCTCCGAAACCTGCAAGTGAAGCCTGGATGCTTCCCAAGCCGCCAATAGGCGTGCCACCACGAGCCGCTCTGCGACCCCCGCTGTAGGATCGATGGGCAGCTCCGCAATCAGTGCTGCTCTCACCCGCTCCCGAGACTCATCGAGCCCCGAGAACAAAGCCACATTGCGGATTCCCAGCTCTCCCAGCCTTGCCTGCCACACAGCCGGAACATCCGCTGCTCAAGCTGGAACCTGAGATCCGGTCCCAACGTCTCCAAGTGCCCTCTCTGCGCGACCGTCAGAGCAGCCGGCGCCGCCATGTGAGGCAAGGAAAACCCTAAAATCAAAGGCAGGACAATACTCAATTCAGCAACGCACCCTGGTTGAACCGTCACCGGCGAAACCTTTGTGCTGATTGCCGATCTCACCATGCTGATGCGATCGCTCTGAAGCAGGCTCCGGCTCCATGAGGCCCTCAAGACGCGTGATGAAGTAAGAAACTGATCGTTCCTTTCCCAGCTCGAGATCACAATCCTTTGGCGTACACTTGCATGTGGATGCATGATCCCTTGACGTACACTTGCAGGCAGCAGTGGCACTCTCAATATGAGCACGATCGACCCTAGGTGTGCACACATTTTGCAGTCCGAGCAATCACGACTCGCTCGAGCTCTCTCCTGAGGTCTGTGCCTCACCGGAAGTGCTGGAGGAGAAGTCCTCCGATCCCGAAGCGTCCGCCTGAGCTGCCTGCTGTCCCTGCTCAGGCTTGAAGCAGTGCTTGCATTGCCAGTCGTAAGAAACGCCCTCCAGCGACTCAAACAACTCACAGTTTGCCACAGACTCAGGCGTGCTGCCGCATCCACCTACACGATGAAGCCGCCGCAGCTTCTTCTTTCCCAAAACTGATACAAAGAACTTGCATGCATCCTTGAGCTCAGGAGTCCTGGCAGGCATCACAAGATCACCAGGCTTGACGCAGTTCCCGCTGCTTTCAGCGAGATGTTGGGCCCGAAACTCGGCCCAGCCCTCCAACGGCCGCAAGAGTTCGGTTAATGTATTCGCAGCTGCTTCCTATATGCAGCTTTATATGCAAAAATGTATACATATAAAGCAAGGAATGTATAAAAGGGAATTGATGCAGTCACTCGCACAAACTCGCTCCTTTTGTTCTCTGGCGGGAAATGCAGATCCGAGCTTCAGCAGCAAGAAGCTGCTTGTGAAAAGGGTCTGCATGTTTTCCCCCTCCCCAGATGGGATCTAGGTGCATCAAAAGGCACCGACCGGCCATAGAGAGAGGGAATGCAGATGGACCCATCCTTTTAAAGGACAGATCGTATAACGGAAACCGAATGCAAATGCAAGCCAGCAGAAGAAAATGTAAGAGTGCAGTCGCCAGCACTAGCACCCAGAAAAGGGAAGAGGTGGGTGGGACAAAAGTTTCTGCCCGCTATGCAGGCGAGCTGGCAGCTGCGAGCCTGCTTGCTGCAATGCACATGGAATGTCATGAATGCAGCAAGCATGCAAAACATTACCAAACACTCGTGAGCAAGCACACATACCGTTCGGTTAATGTATTCGCAGCTGCTTCCTATATGCAGCTTTATATGTAAAAATGTATACATATAAAGCAAGGAATGTATAAAAGGGAATTGATGCAGTCACTCGCACAAACTCGCTCCTTTTGTTCTCTGGCGGGAAATGCAGATCCGAGCTTCAGCAGCAAGAAGCTGCTTGTGAAAAGGGTCTGCATGTTTTCCCCCAAATGCAATCTGCCAGAGAACCGAAGTCGCGCATCAATTCCCCAAATGAAAAACGTGCGACAAGGTGATTAGAGTGCTGCTCCTAAAGGAGAGCTACTCGGAATGCTGAAAGGAGGCTTCCAAGATGGAGGCGAAATCGAAATGGAAGGCGAAGCATTCCAAAGTGCCTTTAAAGCAATGCGACGCCTTCGAGAGAGGCTCCACCGAGCCGGCAAAGCAGCTGGTGGAAGCCAGCGACTCAAAAAGTCAGCCTCAGTGTTCTTTGGACCTGCAATGTGATGTACATCCAAGTGGGTGCCAGTAAAACTGCTTAAAATGGCCAGTCGCTGCACAAATGCAGCGAGAGGCCAGGATGTAGTGAACAGCTTGTTGGCAGTGGCTTCGGCACCACTGTTGTCACACCAGGAATGCATGCGAACCGACAGCTTGCATCCTGGGCTTAAGACACTCAAAAGCCAAACTAATGCAATCTGATCAGATTTCAACGGAAGCTCTGCGAATGCAAAATCCTCCACAGTAAAGCATTCTGAAAACCAAAATTCACCACTTGGCAAAGCAATGTAGCCGCCTATAGCGAAAGTGCGGCCATGGCCCATGGCATCAGCTGCTGCCTCCACCTGTAAATGCTCCATAGGGCGAAGCGATCGCCAAATTGGAGGCAATGCAGACCAATCAAGCCAGAACTGCAACAGACTTCTGGAGGATGGACTCAATGCACGACGCTTGGAGGCAGAGTCTGCAATGCGAAGCCATATATCCTTATCCCCCAGGTTGCAATGTAAAAGTTCGCGCTTGGTGGAAACCTTGTGATGTCTCACAGCAAGAACACGGCTGCCCACCGTAACCGCCGATCCAGGAGGTAGCTTGACCAAATGTAAAGTGTCGTTCAAGCAAGAAATGAATGATTGCCAGTCGTTCTGTCGAACACTGAAGTTGGTTGCACGTGGAGTGTTGAGGTCCTGATAAAGAGACCTCAGCCATGGCCTAGCCAATGGAAACAGTTTGAAAAGCCACTGCAACATGCCACACAACTTGCTCAATGTAGCCCGGTCAGTGTACTTGCCACGGAGTGCCGACACGATAACTGAATGCAACCTTTCAAGCTTGTCAGATGGGATGCAAACACAGCCCATACTGAAATTGAGCTCCCATCCTATCCATCGGATGGAGCATCCAAACTGTAATTTCTTCCAGGATAAGGGGATGGAAAAGGCCCCACAGAAACATAAAGTAATGCAAAAGCTCATCTTTGCAACTGATGCAGATTGAAAGCCAAGTAAGTCGTCCACATACATTGCCAGCCAGTGGGCAATGAAAATCAAGCGATGAAGGGTGCGAACGAAAAATGCACCGAGGCGAGCAAACCAGAAAGCTGAAAAAGCTGCACCGAATGGACAAACTGTATAGAAATAGAGCTTGGGACCCACTCGAATGCCAAGCAGCCCTTGTTCTGACTCGCGCACCATAATGGACTTGTGGGCTGCCTGAACGTCAATGGACCAAGCTGCCAGGGGTTCTAGCTTTCCCCGTAATGGCCAAGAGGCTTGGATAGTTTGCAATGTAGGCAATGCAGAACGCTCAGGAATGAGGCAGCAGGCATTTGTACCACAAATGGAAGAATCAACAACCAAGCGAGGTTTTCGGCCCTCGGAATGTACAATATTCAGCTTACCAACAGCAACGTTCGGCCAGATCTGCCGTGCAGCTTCCAACGACTCAATGCACCGTAACCAGCCTTTGTCCACCTCGATCTGCACCAGCTCCTCGAGAAGGACTGGGTCGTCCTCAGCACCTTGCCAGTTTTCCTGGCAAACCGTTAATGCATCATCAGAGGCTGAGCGACCCGATGGAGCGAAAACACCTGAAATGGGGATATCGTGTTTGAAGCCAGTAGGAACCCCACTCAGTAATGCACTGAAGAGAGTCATATCCGCATCTTTAAGAGCGGAGGACAATGCAGCCAGGGAATTCAAGCAGTATGGCTGGCCATCCTTCACTTGCCAATCAATGGAAGTGCAACCCTGGGACCCCAGCCATGTGCTGAAGAGTCCACGGATTTCCTTCACCTCAGTTTCCGAGAAGAGATGGGAATCTGATGGATGCAACAATCTTTGACGAACTCTGGAAGGAATGCATGCCTTGCCACACCAAGCAATTAAGGCATGGCGGAGCGATTTGAAAATATCATCAGTGGATCGCTCCTGGCCACTCCAGTCGGGACGGCTATGAAGCCCGCCACCATCCACCCAAGCATGTGGTGGAGAGCCAATCGGCTTTTCTGGAATGCAAGACCAAGCCTCATCAATGGAAAGTTCACATTGACCTGAGCAATTGCGGAGTTTGGATATCAACAGTATATCGCAAAGAGCATCCACGAATGCAGGAGGATAATCAGAGGTCGTGGAGGTCGAACAGCACCGACCACACGAGCATGGGTGCCCCAATGCAGAAAAGGAAGGCGATGAGGAGACCATGACCCATGGGCTACCACCAACCCCCTTGTAGGCACACGCCGGCACCTGCACGATGTGCTGCAGACCAGTACAAATGCAGTGAAGGAACAGTTGATCCGACCAGCATTGGTTCCAGCCCGAAATATCAAAATGCACCGCAGAACCTGCCGAATATGCAACTTTGCAGAGTTGCAGCACCCAGCGAGTGTGACTCTCACTCCAGTCAGGGGAGTACACCATGAAAATGGAAGGAAAAACACCTTCCCCAGCACATCGAAAAATGCAATTTCTGGTATGCTCCTGATCCAGAGACTGAATGCACACATGAGGAACACCAGCAGTTGAGAGGCCGGCACGAAGTACCTCAGAGTGCTGAGAAGCCAGTAAAAGGCAGAATTTCTTCGGCAAAGTAGGCTGAGGCAGTTCGACCGCCTGAGGTTGAGGCATCCGACGGGGCAGGGATTCCCCAGGTAGGGGGAACCCCCACATGCGCAATGCATCAATGTCCGAGGATTGAAATTCCGCCAACCGCCTGCAAGTGTAGGCCGTGATGACCCACCTGTCGCCCACGAAGGGCTCAGTGGCGTGCCAAAGACCACCATCGAATGCAAGAGGCGATGACCTGGTATCAACCAATGAAAAATTTATGCACTTCTGTAAAGCTTCAACTCGCATGGATTTCTCGCCCGATGAGGACTCCAGCAGTAAACCTCCGCCAGAAAAGTCACCCAGAGCAACAGTGTAGTTGAGGGTGCCTGGCTCGTTGGATGTATCACGATGGACTTTGAGCACTTCGTTGTGAGAGACACATAACGAAGTCCATGTACCCAATGGAAAGAGCATACATAACCAAGCATTGAGTCGGCACAAAATGTGCTGGTATTGGAATGTATGATGTGTCAGGCCAAAACGCACCGACTGAGAGAAACCACCGAGGTTGAAGTACGCGGCCTCCGTACGATCCCCCTCAATAGCCTGCCATCTGTATTTCACCGTGGTTGATGTAAAAGATTGCTGAAGCAAGTCAAGAATTTCTGCATCAGAAGTGGATGTATGACCAGCCGATGGCAAAGGCGAGGGTGCATGTGGTGCAAGCCCAGAAAGCTG